TTGCTACGATATTCAGCCGATTCCGATATTTCCCGGTTGCAAGCATAGATCCAAGATAATATGTTTCATGACGTCCAAGTAGTCAGAAAAAATATCAGAGAAAATATTTAGTGATTTTGGAACCAGTCGTGCTTTCACTTTTCTTAGGCCCAAATGATCTTTCAAAATAGTTTTCACTGATCCTTCTGATATTTCAACGATGGCAGTAAGATCTCTGACTGTTAATCGTCGATTCTCAAGCACCAATTCTTCTATTTTATTGACATGTTGATATCAGTGGATGCTGATGGCCGTCCCGGACGTGGTTCATCATCAGCGCGACATTTCCAACATTTTCAACGTTTCGGCACCAGAAATTTTATTCCACACACAAAATTATTGTAGCTACTTTATTGAATAATTTCAGCAGCTGAGATTCATTGGAACATTCACATGAACATCATTATGACAATGCATTATGCAATAAGCTACAAAGTTTCTAATTTTAGGCAAAATATTGTAGCTACATTTTAGATTGAGCTAGGTAAATATGTTGACTTCGCTTGAGACTATGAATAGTCACATGTGAACAACTAAAGACGCTTGTACGTTGCGATGTCCAGAACTCCGGATATGGATCACAAAGACCGTCACATATCGACAAAACGCCTAGTGCTAAACATATATTTATTGAGTCGGCACATGTCTATTCTAAGCAATTCACCGGATTTGTAGACAGTTGCGGCAAGTTTAGTCTGGCAAAAGCTGGACCGTGGAGGAGATGTGTTCTTCTCTTCTTATTTGTAGCTTTAAAAAGGTCTAGTTAAGGTTGCATATTATAGATATGAGCCTTGCTAAGGCCCTAACTGCTAGGGTCAATGGGTCTTTTACGTTTAGCTTTGGGCCGGAAGGTGTTAGCAACACCGTAAATGCTGGATACTGATCAACACTTGTTTCACACGCGAGGAGCCCTTAGATCCAGCGCCCGAATGCACAAAGACATGGTTCCTAATCTGATGCAATTCGGTTATTGATGCCTTTGCTTTTTGCAAGGCTTCAGACAAGTTTAATATAGAATTAGCTTGATGCTACTGCTAGTGAGATCATGGTCACGGACCGTGACCACATAATAGATAATTGTTAATACATCTATCCACCGTAAATATACAAGTATGTATGTAGGCTGGTTATCACAAACGTTATTATGTCGCCGCTGTGTGTAATCAGCCAGTGCCATCTCCATGACCAATGCTGACCGCAGAACCGCAATCAGTAAAAGCTGAATATCTGATTACGAGCTAAGCAAAATGTTGCAAATATTTCAATTTAATCGGAATTGTGGTAATGACCATGTAAACTACAATTTTGTTCACTTCTAATTTATATACACGCATTTGCAGTTACACCGACACACAGTCAAATGCATGCTTCTGTTTGTGTGTTGCATGCAAAATTAAGTGGCTGCTATTTATTAAGTTGATGCTTGCAACAACTTACAACTTGGAAATTTTACAATCGTGGCTGTATATGTGTGTGCATAGCTGTAAATATATATATTGGGGGTTAATATATATGCATAATATATAATTTAAGTTATGGTTGTGTGTGTGTGGTATTCGTTTACTGATTTTTGATTTTAATTAACGTCAATTAGTGGTTTGCTCTCATACATCTGTGGCACTGGTCAGCGTGGTCTGGCTGCTGGTATTGGCCATTTGTATATGGTCAGTATAAATTGTGTGTGTCATACACTTTTTATTGATACCAAATATATGTATGTGTCGGGCGGTTAGAAGCGCCAGGTAAAATCATAACTTCTTAAGGAGGGCTGTCATTCCACCAGAGTGCATCTGGTGAGCATCAAATCTTTTCGAAAAGCTAACTGTTACATATTGCTTTCGAAAGTGAAATTAAATTTCATTCCTGTAAATAAATTCTTTTTCATAATTGATTTCGTGATATAAGGTTATAAATAGATAGATTTAGCGATACTTCGCCTTCCTAAACCTGTGTATGTGTATGTATATATATAAATATGTACAAAAAGCTTATATGTATGTCTGAAACCACAACCACTTCATACCAAGATGTTCACTCTTTTCACTATCAGCACGCTGAAACACCTTAGAGCTCACACTTTTAGATATTGAAATAAACTAACGAGTATAGAATTATAAGGCCAAGTATACTCATGACTACTTCACATCACTGCGCCGATAACTCAGATTCACATCTAAGAGCTTTCTGATTTCCGAAAGGACAGGGTTTGGCGGGCCAAGTGTGATTTTGAACTTTGGAATCAGCTGAAAATCCTTATCGACTCGATTCTTTTCGTCTGCACATGTCACAACTTGAACAACAACTGATTTTGGACAACTTTCACGAAACTTGGCTTGGAGTAATGTACGACCTCTGGAAAATACTGTTCCTTGATGAAGCTTCAGCGCCAAGAATATAATCAAATTCATCGATGTACTGTTGTTGAGCTAATTCATGTCAAAATTTATGAAAAATAATCAATCCAAAATGTTCGAGATTTAATTCAATTTTTTGATCGCGATGAATGTTTTAACTTACTATAAACAACACTCAGAGCGTTCTGAGCTTGGAAACCATCAAAAATGACACACTTTACGATCAATTTGTGAGTTGCCAGATGGCGAAATAAGGGTTGCCGACTTCCGTAATATTATAAAGTAACATCTGTCAAAAAGATGAACTCCGAAAAATGTATTGTGTCATTCCATTTTTTTTATTTTTATTTTTTTATATTTTTTAATTAAATACTAATTTTGTATGGGAAAGAAAAATAAATATTCAAAGTGTTGACCATTGCTATTTATTCATTTTAATATCTTTCTGGTAATTTGAGAATACCAGGTCAATAGAAATATTCGTCCCATCGATGAAATTAAACAGTAATCAGAGGAAGCCAAGTCTGATGAATACGGCGGGTGGGGTAGTACTCAAGTACTTTGATAGTGGTGTTGATGGTTGCCCCGGATTAACACACGATTTCCTCCATTTAGGATGCTTAAAATTGATCCATTTATAACGCCAATGACAGCTCGATACAAAACCGAGTTTCCTTCGCTTCGTTGAAACAAAATTCACAAATCTTTTTTCGTTTTTCCATTTGTCTTGCATTCAGTTCATGTGACACCCATTTTTCACACTTTTGGAATTTTCCCAAAGCTTTAAAACGGTCTGAAATTCTTTGTTGTACATTATTTAATATGACTGCCATTTGCTTTCGGACTTTTTTGGCGCTCTTCCACGTTCTTCATTTTTCACATCAAAATTATTATTTCTAAACGCTGCAACCATCTTTTGCGTGTGGTTTCTAATACCCCATGATAATCATATGCCTCCATAAAAAATGTGATGTTGTTTGCTGACTGACTGTAAGGTTTTTGGATATGTTTGACAAATGTCATACCAACCAATAAAAAAAAGAATGAATCTCATTCACAACAAATTTTTCTTACACCTGGCAAAGTTATTTTGTTTCAAATAGAACAAATTCCTTGTACACCGTAGACCATGATTGTCAAGATAAGCTCAGTAGCTGTCAATTTGTATCAAAATATCAATATCAAATTATTTACATACTCAATTATATAACTGGATGATAAATTACTTATAGATTTCTTTCTAAGGGGTGATCCATTTCTAGTTTATATTTTTAAAGAAAAAATACAGAAACTTCAATTTTAATGGAGAATGTTTGTTAGCATTCGAAGAAAATTCTTTGACATTTAATTTTGAAGATTATCTCTTTCAATTGTTATCTGCGATACCGTGTTCGAACATTTCGAATGGTAATTGGCGAATCATACGCGAGACGTTTTTCTGCAAGGCTTGAATCTAAGCGGCATTGTCCATATGCACTTTAGTCTTCACATATCCCCAAAGTAAAGAGTGTAACGGTATGAAATCACACGATTTTGGTGGCCAATCCACCGGCCCAAACGTGAAATTATCTGCTCACCAAAATGTTATCTCAATAAATCTATCGATTGATGCGATGTGTGGGCAGTGGCATCATCTTGTTGAAACCAAATTTCGCCGAGATCACGAACTTCAATTTCAGGCATGAAATAGTCGGTTATCATTGCGGGTTACGTTCTCACTGGTATCATTTCTGGAGAAATATGACTCACAAACCACAATAAACCGTTTTTTTTTTTTTTTTTTTTTTTTTTTTTTTTTTTTTTTTTTTTTTTTTTTTTTTTTTTTTTTTTTTTTGATGAAATTGAATCCTTCCGGTTGGTCTTCGTCCCAAATGTAAAATGAAATGTGCCTCATCGCTGAAGAAAATGTGGCTCGAAGACGTCGGATCGTCTTGGAACTTTTCCAGGGCCAATAGAACGACGCGATATGGCTGGACTCAGTTCTGTATATTGTACGCTTTCAATTTAAGAACTCGACGTAAAATGCGCCAAGTCGTTCCATATGTCAGTCCGAGTTGCTGCGAACGGCGTCGAATCGAGTCTCCACGGTCTTTGTGTACACTCTCAGCTACGGCTGCTATATTATGTTCAGTGCGGGCTGGGCGTGGTCCATTCGATCGAATATTATCCAGTAATGGATCTAAAGATGGGTGATGCAATTCATCACATTTTTCAACATTACAGCTTTTTATTTACGTCCAGAAAAAATTTCAAAAATAGACCTTTTGAGGACTCAAGATTGGCTAATACAAAGCTAATACAAACTCCAAACCTCCATAGAATTATAAAATCTTGCTTATATTGCTCAAGAACCTTTCAGTGCTAGGAAGAAACGCAGTACGGAGCCGAACTTAATATGCTTAACGAGTATTCAGAGAAAAAGCGAGAGAAACAAGCCCGAAATTCTTGCTAACCTTTAATTTAAGCATCAATTCCATTATAATTATTTAATAAATTTCTGCTTTCTATTTAATAAAATATCATTTATTAAATTGCAGTTTACAAACAATAATCCCATTAAGCGTTCATAACTGTACACACTAAAATATTGCTCTCCCCTCTTCGCAGGTAATCACAGCCAGCGAATCGGCGCCAAAGGCTCTAAAGGATTTACGTAATCGCTGCCTGAATCCCGGCAAATACGCACAGCACCTGGAGCATTGGCTGGCCTACTATCCCGCCCAGCAACTGCATATCATCGATGGCGAACAGTTACGACTCAACCCGGTGGATGTGATGAACGATTTGCAGCGCTTCCTCAAAATACAACCGACGCTCGACTATTCGAATCATTTGCGCTTCGATGCGAAGAAGGGATTCTTCTGTCAGGCACTCAGCGAGAAGCGCAATAAATGTTTGGGCAAATCGAAGGGCCGTCAATATCCGTCGATGGACGAACGCAGCGCCAAGCTGCTGCAGCGGTGAGTATTATCTTGCGGGTGTGTGTGTGTGTTAGTGTGGCTTGGCTGCCAACATATCTCTGATGTGGGCGTCTACAATTGGCTAACAATTGATGTGTGAAATGTCGGAATGCGCGCCGTTTGTTGAGCGGTCGAGTGAGGTGCACACTTTCATTTGTTGTTGCTGCGACTTTACGCACCTTTCATCACGGCGTAACAGTCATGTGGGCTGCCTCTTGGCGTGTGGTTGCTGCAGCATGTCGAAATTCAATTGAGATTGTGTGGCATTTACATACAGCCGGTGTGCGCCTGAGTGTATGCTTCAATAAATCTAAATGGTTTGGCTGTTTATTTTTGATGTTTTTGTTGTTGTTCAATTTCGCATGCTTGATCGCTTGCCAGCAAAATGCCGTCGCCGCTGCTGCTGCTGCTGCGACGTTGGTTTAGACAAAGTGCATTTCACTGTTTCCTAAATTGCTTTTCCGTTTTTGTTTCGCCAGCTTTGCCAGCTCAACGCTTGACTGTCACCTCACCGGCACTTTTGCGGCGTGCAAACAAAAGTTGTCTTCGTCACACATACATAAATCTCGTATGTATGTTTGTATGTTAGCGCAGCCGCACACGTGTCGCTTGGTCGACATGTTTGGTTCTTCTGCCTTTTATTTTCAACCTTTTCACGCTGCTCTTCTCCCGCTATCAGTGCTGCCCGCGTGTTGGTTATCACACGACGGCCGGTGTGCGGCATCCTGCAGTGACAGCTCCAACTTCTGCTTTCATTCATTTTTAAAGTTCCCCATTCAGTTTGCTAGTTGCTGTTGATCAACTTCACTTCTAGTCATGCTCGGTGTTGCCAGTCGGCTATAGCAAGCAAGTGAAAGCTTGTCATTTTGTGCTACTTGATATAGCTATATGAGAGTGTACGTATCTTCCATGGAACCTATAACGTACATACATTTAACTATATACCTTACAGGGACTCTTATGTAAAGCGTATTGATTTCGAAGGTATATTTGATTTTGTTATCGTAAAGTGGTGAATATTTTTCCATTTTACTCCTATCCCCGAGTTTGCGCGGATTTGGCAAATTTTATTGAAGAAATTCCTGCTGCACTTAATACGGCCTTCAAAATATTTAGCGTTTAAGCTTGACCTACAATCAATCAATCAGTAGTTATATTTTCTGTTAGAAGTGGTCTTGTTAACCTTCATAACTCGCACAATCATTTCTATTGCTAGTTTGTAGCTCATACTATTGACCTGGGAATGTCTAATACACACAAGAGTAACGGGTTTTTCAATAGGGTTGCTAAAAAAGTAGACCGATCGGGACAGCAAAGGACTCCTAATTTTTCCCAGTCTTTTGACATTTCTCTTCAGTATGGTTTGCCATTTCATCATAGAAACATATACGATCCAACAACTAGTCGAAATTATTAAAATTTAAATTCGGAGTCAGTGGCCTCAACTTTAAGAGCGCTACGATCAATTTATGCTGGTCATAATTGTCCTGTCGGATCAGCAATCAAGCGTCTAGTTTAAAAATTTGTATTCACAGTACAAAATGTTTGCGTGCCAGTGAGACAAAGAAATGCCCGTAAAGTCGAAAAGATTGCTGCCATTAGCGCATCACTTGACGAAGACCCAAATCAGTCTACCACACTTCGCTCTCAAACATTGGCCATTTCTGTGATGTCGTTGTGGCGAATATTACGAAAAGATTTTGGTATACATTATAAAATCAAGTTGACGCTAGAACTGAAACCGCTCGTATGTTCGTAAATTGGGCTGAGTAACAACTTTAAAATGATCCAGATTTTCTTTGAAAAATCAACGACAGCGATAAGGGTCATTTCTGGCTAAATGGCTTCGACAATAAGCACAATATATGTTATTGGTCAGGCAAAAATCCACAAAAACTTCATGAGTCACCATTGCATCCCGAAAAAATTAAGGGCTGGTGCGGTTTATGGTCCGGCGGCGTCATTGGGCTGTACTTCCTCAGTGAAGATCAAGAACGTTACTGTGAATGGGAATCCCTACCGCTCAATGATAACCGGATATTTTGGAACCGAAATTGGTGATATGAACTTGTACAATATGTGGTTCTACCAGGACGGCGCCATAAGCCACACAGCGAATGTCACAATCGATTTATTGAAATCTATATTTGGTGAGCGTGTTATCTCACGAACTGTCCCAGTCAATTGGCCGCCTTGGTCGTAAAATTTTACGCAGTTAAACTATATTTCCTCTGGGGCTACGTCAAGTCTATGGTCTATACCAACAAGCCAGTGACGATAGGTGAACTTCGTACGAATATCGAACGTGAAATTGCAGCAGTAATGAACGACTCATGCTTGAAAACCGTCGAAAATTGGGTTCAGTGTCTGGACTTCTGCAAGCGTGCCCATGGCGGCTTTACAGGACCTCTCTTCGGAATATATTATATTAACAGGCTCATATCAAAGTTCCTTGACCACTATTTAATATACGAGTAGGGAGATTTTTAGTAATTAGTTTGCCACGAGAGGGGTTTATTAAAGCTATATTAAGTTTACCAAGAAGTTCGTAAAATCCAGAAAGAATCGTCCGAGGCCCAGGAGTAAGCGATCTAGTCTGTCCGTCTGTTTGTATATACGCGAACTAGTCTCTCGGTTTTTAGGGTACCGGTATGAAATTTTGCACATATTCTTTTCTCTCAATGAAGCTGCTCATTTGTTGAAACCGCCGATATCGGATCACTAAACTGTATGGTTGCCATACAGACTGAAGGATCGGAACAAAGATCATGTATGGAAAACCTTTTCAAAATATCTAAACAATATGAACAACTGCTATACAACTAGACCGATCAAAAACAAGTTCTTGTGTTGAATCAATTGTTTTTATGTCGGATCGTCATGGACTAAAATTAGTTCATCCATATTTAAATTTTTTGTTGCTTTTACTGCCATAGGCTTAAATTATATATGCTACGGAACCCACAAACTTTGTTTTTATTAACTATTGTTGTTTTTGTTGCAACATTCTTTATGTACCGTCAGTCTCTGGCGCTCCCTAATAATGTCCACTTAATTAAAATTGGATTAATTTCGTGGATTTTAATAAAGTTCGCTTTTGCAACGAGGTACAGTAAAGTTCATAATAAAGGCACACACACATGTGCAGCTAGTCATAATTGCTAAAAATATATATTACATACATATGTATATAGGTGCATATTGCCACCAGCTGCATGGGCGAGCAGAGCACAACTTTTAATTAACCGGTGATTAATGGTGTTTACTGAATGAGTTATGTAATTATTATGACTGCTTAAATTCATAATTGAGGTTAAATAGAATATTTGACTAGAAAACAATGTTGAATAAAGTGAATGAAAAAAAAAATTAAATTAAATAAAGTAAAAGTATCAAAATGATAAGTATAAAATAAATTAGTTTTAAGTAAGAAAAAAAATAAAAATAAAACGAAAATTAAAGATTTAATTCACTTTACTCTAATCAATGATTATTAGTGTTCTATGGCGTGTGCATATTTTGTCAATTCCACAATAGTTCGCCACGAAATTAATCAGAAATCGCAGTGTATTTCCAACATTCTGAAGATCTGGAGAACAATTCAACCACCTCTCTCAGAACTATTTAGCTTCTCTGTTCAAATCGGCGTTCATTGGTAAGAGGAAAGGTTTTTCGATGTCTCGCTGGTTCCAAGATAGACGAAATACTCTTTTATATACTACAATAGTTCTCAATAGTCACGTATGGAACGTGATGTGGTATTTTATATTTATTTCATGATGGTAGATATTTCTGTTTTCGTTTTTCAGTCTTATCGCAAACAGTAAACGAAGGTTGCCTTTTATATTTCGGCATTAGACAAAAACAAATATTAATCATTGAGAAGAGCGCTACTGTTGTTTAAAATACTCTCCATAAAGATCTATTCATGTCTCCATCAACCGCATTTTTAGGTGTTCCTCTTCTTTGTTATTGTAGAGAACGCTTACGTGGTTATGGGCGAGTTTACAGCAGCGCGCTAGTCGTTCTTAATTTTCGCTGTTTGTGCCAATTGAAGATTCCAAGTGTAGCCAGGTCTTTTTCCACCTGGTCGCTCCAACGGAGTGGAGGTCTTCCTTTGCTTCCTCCGGCGTCGAATACTCTCCGAGTCATCCACTCGAACGACATGACCTAGCCGGCGTAGCCGCTGTCTTTTAATTCGCTGAACTATGTCCATGTCATCGTATATCTCATACAGCTCATTGTTTCATCAACTGCAGTTTCGCCGTTGTCAATGCGCAAATGGCCTGAAATCTTCCATAGAACCTTTCTTTCGAAAACTCGTAATGCCGACTCATCAGATGTTGTTATCATAAATATATCTGCACCACTTTGCAGCATAGCAAAGACTACGACTTCGAATTTATGACTATCAACAGTGACGTAGGACCCAAGGTGAATGCGACGTCTGTTGGTTTGATGACAGGACTTATTTCATTTCGTCCTCGTTCGGCGACCAAGCCCATACGCTTCACTTCTTTATCAAGTCTGGAGAAAGCAGAACTAACGACGCTGTACTTCAGCAGCCGTACACTCTTAAAGAAGATTGTACCTTCTCAATGCAGTCGATTTATTTTCTCCGGCAGTAGATTGAAGAAGTCCCATGATAAGGAGTCGCCTTGTCTGAAACCTCGTTTGGGATCGAATGGCTCGTAGAGGTCATTCCCGATCCTGACAGAGCTTTTGGTATTGCTCAACGTCAGTTTAGATAGCCGTATTAGTTTCGTGAGGATACTAAATTCAGACGTCGTGGCATAAAGGCAACTCCTTTTCGTGCTGTCAAAAGCAGCTTTGAAATCGACAAAGAGCTGATGAGTGTCGTTTTCTCTTTTCATCGGTCTTTTCCAAGATTTGAATGTCTGGTCAGTTGTTGTTTTTCCTGGCCTAAAGCCACACTGGTAAGGTCCAATCAGTTTGATGACGGTGGGATTTAATCTTCCACACAGTACGCTCGATAGAACCTTATTTTCGATGGCGATGAGGCTTATCCCACGATAATTGGCTCAGATTGTAGATTGTCTTCTTTTTTGTGGATTGGCCAAAGCCCACTTAAATTTCAATCGTCGGGCATGCTTTCGTACAACCATATTCTACAAAGAAGCTTATGCATGCTACCTAATTCGATAATTAAAATATTGGAAATAACAACTTAAGCTTCAGACAACGTCACAGATCAGCAAACATTATTCATGCAAGTCCGAAAAAAAAAACATTCTAGAGTTCACTCCTTTCTCTTTTCACTTCCTAAGCGACAATCCATGTTTTCGAAAATGACCTTGGGGACAATCATATTTTATTCTTTATAAACTCGTTCTGCCCCGTTTAAAATTAATTTTTCACATTTGTAATCAATTATTTTCTCAGTAACTGTTTTACTAATCCGTCATTTCTTGCTTTCCCTCTCCCATTTAGCTACTATCTCAGCCACAACACAGCGCTGGTGAAGCTGTTGAAGAAGTTGGGCTCACGACCCATACCACAGTGGCTGAAAGACGACCTCTCGACGGGCACGTGATAGCTAATGCAATTCCGGCGACTGCGCAACAAGCTGCGAAAACAATTCGAAATGGTGTTTGTAAGACTCAAACAACAGACAGACACGAACAACGACAACGAGGTGATAAAGGAGGAGGACGAAACGCCTAAAAGTATACCATACAGACATCACAGACGCAACAGCTGGACACGCTATTAGCGCAGCACAGTCGTGTGGAGCATGGCAGTCGAGTCAAACAATTGTAAATTGCAAGTAGAAGTGTGTAGAGGAAAGGAGGTGAAATGAATTAAGCGTTTAGGCGTTGAAGCGAAAAATGTGAAACCATTGAAGTCAATATCTAATTTAATGTAGCTACTAAATCATGCCTATTGTGTATCTAACTAGTTTAAGGCAAAACAACTAAAAATCTGTTGTATGTAAGTATGTATACGATAATGTAAATCTAGTGTTAAGTCAATATATGTATATGTAAATGTATGCTAGGCAAAATGGCGGCAGTCGAAAAGTCACTCGACTGCATTTTATGTAATTAAAAATTAATAAGCGCTTGTTTGTGTGTGACTATATGTGTACACATGTATGTGTTTAGTTTATGTTTGTGTGTATATATGCATACCCAACAACATTATATTTATATATAGATATTAGGTAACTATGTGCATAGTGTATAGATGTATTATTAACGCCATATTACATGTGTAAGTGTGTACATAAACATACAAACATACAAAAATTAAATAAATAAATGTGTTTTAGTGACAGCTAATGCATACATATCTCATAAGTACTGCATAGTTGTTGTAATAACTGTAATCAGCATCAGCTTTAATTATGTCGCTATTTATGTGCGAAGCAAAAATAACAAAAAAAAAAATAAATAAATAAATAAATAACAGCTTGGCAGCAAACAATACAACAGGCAAAATTGATTTGTGGCGTTGCCAGATGATTCCAGAATTATAATGTAAATGAAAATTTATTTTTTTAACACACGCGTGTTTGGAGAAAACAAGGTTTCTCGAGTATATAGTATATACAAGGCAGTGATAAACGCTCTGCAATAGCTAGTGTATACAGGGTGCTTCGTAAAAAAATGCCGAAAATGCTAAGAATTTTAATTAATGTCTATGGAAATTGTTGTTGAAATTTTGTCGACGAAATGTAAAATAAAACATTAAACCTGTATATACTTTTTAACGGTATTTATGTTCCTTTCCTGTACTATCATTTACTTTAAATTTTGTAAAGTTGTAGCGCCTGTTACTGTTTTCGTCTCAACCGCATTATGGTTGAAGTTTTGAAATTTGGCATTATAGATATCGTCAACTCAATCCGTCAACAAAAAATTTCGATTCTAACTCCAACTATTTTTGTGGTATTACGGTTTTCAACTCTTCTTCAGTGGGGTTGACTAAACTATCAAAATCCAATTAGTATCAAAACTCCAATATGAAATTCTTGGTAGCAGTTGTAGCTGAAAATGAGAGTTTGAGAATACTATAAAACGAAATTTCTATATAAATTTCAAATGTTTTAATAATTTATTTTGCAAAAATGCAGGTCAATTAAAAAGTTGCCGTCCGCACCGTTTCTTTCTTATTCTAAATAGTTCTCTTTAAAGGCGATGTACTCATTATAGCGACCCTTCAACTTTTCGATACAAATTTTGTATTGCGATTTGTCCGTTTCTTCACAGAACACCTCTTCATTAGTCGAAAATTTTTCCCAGCGACAGTTCTTTTGAAATCTCACAACCAAAAATAGTCGCTGCGGGCCAGATTTGAAGATTACAGTGGATGCGAAGGCAATTAGAAGAACAATTCATAGATTTTTGGCATTGTTTTACTGACTTGTTTAACGGTGCATTGTCTTGGCTAGCACAATGCTGTCACTTTTCGGCGACATGGTCTTTCAAACGCTCCAATAATGCTATGATGCGGTTAATGGTGCTTGATTTTTCAAAGTAGTCAATATAAATTGTTCCATGCGCATACCAAAATACCGACGCCAAAACCTCCCCTGTTGCGTTTTTCCGTGCGTTGAAGCGTATTCATCATCTGCTGTTCACTTGGATGACTGTCGATTGGACTTCGAAATGAAATTATGGAGCCATGTTTCATTGATACATATCGACGCAAAAGCTCGGGTTTTATTACGCCTGAACATTTCCACACACTGTTCCGACCACTTTATACAGAGCTTTCTCATACCCAAATATGCGTGAGTGATATGACGTTCATATTCAGTTGACATCTTTAGAGTGCCTGCGATCTTGAACAACTTTGATTTACGGTCAACTAAAATTATTTTGTGGACTCTTTTGATGTTTTCATTGACTCTTTTAGGCATTCAATGCATTGGTCGTTTCTCCACGGGGTATTGTCCGGAAACTTGTCATCAAACCACATTTTGCTTCAACTGTATTTTCGAGTTATGAGCACATATTCTTAGATAATTTTTAAAGTGTTTAAAAAAAAACAAAAAAAAAAAAAAAAAAAATGTTTTTTTGACAATGCCTGACCTAGTTATCAACGAGTCAGCAATAAAACTAGAGTGTGTGCCAGACCACAACGGAATCGCAGGCAAGAAAGGGTAGCCCAGATCCGTGTGTAATACTGGATAGCTAGACTTTGCGAGATCTCGACAAGCGCTGGATTACAATCAGCTCTTCTGCTATGGCAACATGCTTTTCGCCCCTTGACAAGTAATCCTACTTGTATAAGCTGCTTTTCTCTGCAAGGCTAGCATCTTTCTAGTTGTGGGGGATCTAGCAGGCCGGATAAGTGTTATATCAGGAAAAAAAAAAAATTATTGAAATTGCACATGTCATTATATTTATTTTAGTGGCCATACCTCCCTAATTTTACTGGTTATTTGTGGGAATATTTAACTTCTGAAAGATAAATAAATTTTTATGAAAATTGTGAATGCAAGATCCAAACCTGAATGAAGCTGTTCTCTAAGAAGTGTAGTGTTTTCATAGGTTTTCTTATTTAATTTCCTCAAAATTCAGGGCTTGTTCCGATTTTGGTTGCGATGTTTGAAAATATTGGTGCATCCTGCGAAAATATTGAGCAAAATCTTCATGTCGGTTGCAGCCAGTTTGAGTGGTAGCTTTTTTACCGACGAAAGAATAAAAAAAAGGAACTGAAGGGCTGTCCACTATTTAGTCTCAATTTCACAAACAATGATTTCAATGATTTTCCAACATTCGAAAAAAGTTTCAAACGAAAGGTTTCTGTATTTCGATAGAACACCAAACTAAACGTCGAAAAAGAAAAGTATGTTTGTAAAACCGATTTAAATCCAGCAAAAGGCAGCGCATAACAAAAAATGCAAACTCTCTTGCATATAGATCGCTTATCTGTATAAAGCCTAATTAACTGCCATAATTTTTAAACTGTATAAAATAATGTTATTTCAACAAAACTTTTTATTTTCGTGATTCAGCCATAATTTAAAGTAAAAATAATACTTTTTAATCATAGTCAAATGCTTTAACATTTTATTTTTAGAGATAAAATAAAAAAAAAAAAATAAATTGCATAAACTGTCTGTCTCATAAAAACTTCACGCCCAAGCAGAATTATTTTCATCCGAAATTTGCCTTTAAAAATAGAAAAAGTTAATTTGAATGAAAGCAACAAATTAAGCAGAAATATGTGAAACCAAAACTAATTAAATTAACAAACAGTAATTTCCTCATATTTTTTTTTTTTATTAATTGTATGCGTGAAAAAAATATTTTGCGGCGAATTTAATTTCTAATTATTGCAACGCTTGCTGAAGGGTTAATTGCTCATTCAAACTTTAAGTACATAAATATTTGCACAGTTCATTAAGTTTGGCAAATTAAGTTTATATGGATATATGACGGAGTTAAAAATATGTAAATATTTGTTGGGAGATCTTACAAAATTTAAAAAATAATATTTTTCTATCCTTTATTTCTCTTGGTTTCCAATTTTGAAGTAAACTAATCTGATATATCATTTACTAAAGCCTGATCCGTTTCGAGGATCCATATATTTTTAAAGAAAAAACACAGAAACTTCAAATTTAATGGGAAATTGCAAAAAAAAAAGAACATTATTTGGCATTTATTTTTTGAAGATTATCCCTTTCAAATGTTGGCTGCGACTACGTCTCAGATGGTCCATCCATTGAGTCCAATTTATGATGACTGCTTCGAGAATTTGAACAGGTAACTGGCGAATGACACGATTGATGTTTTGCTCCAAGATCTGAATCGAATTGTCTACACAGGCTTTAGACTTTACATGTCCTCGGCGGTAAAAGTCTAATGAAGTCTGATAAAATTATAAATAAAAATAATTTGACAGCTAGACACGATTCAAGCGTAGTCTGTCAAAAAAAAAAGGCTATGGAAAAAAATACCTCTTCTTGGATCATTATAATGATCTTCGAGCTATACCATTATCATAGAGTAAAAAATTGCTACATCATTTTAAATCACAAATAGCTATTGTAGAAAAAACTTTTCGACTTCCTTATTATTCTTCAGCTCTCCTTTGATTCTGAAAGAGCTTACAATTACCCAGCTGAAAACAAACAAATTATTTTCTAATCCGAGTAGTATAAACTGTCTTCTTATGATTTTACCAACTGATTTTTTATGCTGGTTGTTTAATCGATTTAGCTCTCTTTCCCCACCCAACTCTCCTTCCAACCCATCCGATTCAGCTTTCTTTGCTACATACTACCCTTTACGTTAGATTCAAAATACTTTTCTTTGCCAATATTCTTCCATAGATCAGTAAAAAATTTAAGTATCTGAAAAATTAGTGTCCTTAAGGCTTACTCGAGAATACCCTTTTCATTTTGGCATTTTAACCCACGTCGTCTATAGAAAATACTGCTCTACTCTTAATACGTACATTTAAATTGTGCAGCTGAAAAAGTAATTTAGCTTCCAATTAGGATATTATATATAAATACCTTTGGTTACATTTTTTTTATCGATTTGTTCCAGCTGTGCAGTTGTGACTGTGGAGTGACTTATCTCCTAAACTATTCAAATTTTTGATTTGCTTATAAAAATGAGAAAAATGCTGTTTAATTAATTTTTATAATGCAATTGAACACTTTTTTTTAATATAAGTTTTATAAAAGTTCTGTTTTAACAAAAAAATTGAAAATTCCAAAATAAGTTCATTTTCGCAAGCCAAAAAAAAAACAATATCCAGTTTGCATAAACTGATATTTTAAGCAAAATTAA